TCTGGTGAGTTATGTACAGGCGTGGGCTTAAGTCGGTCTGGATATGTGTGTCCACATGTGTAAAGAAAATAGCGTGATCGACACAAACTTTCAGAACTTATTTCTGTTTGTATCGACTGAAGTCCTTATCGGGTATTTCTTCCACTTTGCGCACACACATGTACTTTAAACTTTACACAAGTGTGCTCGTATCGTGCATTTGCCACCACTATACCTGCCCCATTATTTTTTTTTCCTTGTTTCCTGCATTCTGTCGAGTTTTTTTTAATCCATATGTTATACATTATCCACCGGGAACTTTTAGCTGACTGTTATTTCCTTTGATGCTGACCCGTACATACCCTTCCGCGACTTCTTAGTGATCGCTATTATCTTTTCGGTTTATTATGTATTCTACACTGGTTGCTAGTTTAAAAACCACGTTTTATGATATTTAATTGGCTGTTGGTAAAATTTACGCACGTCATTCACATTCCACTGGTATAACCTTCTCCTGCCATATCTGGGTGGCTGGCCACTTACGGGTTCGTTCCCCCGGCGGTTATTTTTAGGTCCTGATTGGCATCTTTTTTGTTGTCTCTATTTCTCGGGTTGCAGGTCGTGTTCCCGCTGTTCTCTATGGGTGCTTATATGGGTCGTCTGGCGGGCGAGCTTGTACAGTTGATGGTGCCTGATCGTGAAATCATGGTGTCTGGGTAAGCTATCGAACATTGTGCGATGACACTCACAAGTTGCGCAGAGATTGTGAATATGTCAAGTCGCTTATATAGATCGGTGATATTGCAGGTATAGACCACCTTGATGAATGTGTCTGTGTTTATTCAACATTTGCTTTTACCCCAATACCCCAATAGAGTGCCAATATTCATAATACCCCCCCCCCAATCAACCCTCTATGTTTATGTCGACAGACAGCCCATCGAGTCACTTGTGAGAGTACACGCTTTCAAGTTGAACAGTGGCTGTTGACTACGACTTACACACGCATGTGATACACACGCCATTAGAGCCCTTCCTCCCAAATGGTTCTCAGAAATGTACGGGTACACTTTCAAGTTCAAGAATCTACTGGTCGTGCGCACCAATACCTTCACCTTCATCAATCGGGTATCTACCCTCACAAAATATCCCGAATTTTCAGAATTGTCTGTGCATACCTCTGCTCCCAGGTATGTGCTGGTGGGAGTCGCGGCTGTGTGCACTGGTGGCACCCATACGCTGTCGTCCGCTGTCATCGTGTTTGAGATCAGTCAGAACATGACCTATCTCATCCCAGTGCTGGTAAGTGTTTTGCCACAGATTATATTCTGCTTGGGATTGTTTTGCCACACAGATTGTACGCAACAGATGGTATCGCGCGCTATGCCGATTTACTATAGCGAACCAATGTATGTTGTATGTATATATGCATCATACACGACTTACTCATTAAGTAAGAAATTTAACCTTTTCAGTGGATTT